ACCGAAATCCGAACGCCTCCGTTAGGGATGTGGCTAAGAAGCTGCACCTAAGCCGAAGTTTTGTCCAGAAGGCCAAAACTAAGGCTGGGCTTCGAACGTTCAAGGTACAAAAGGCCCCTAATCGCGACGAGAAGCAGAACAAGTCCGCCAAAACCCGTGCCAGGAAGTTGTACCTCAACATGCTGACGAAAGTTGAATGCTGCATCATGGACGACGAAACATATGTGAAGGCCGACTTCAAACAGATCCCCGGCAACCTGTTTTTCACGGCCAAGGATAAGTTCAGCGTTCCGGAGCATGTCCGCACTCAGAAGATGTCCAAATTTGCGAAGAAATTCCTGGTTTGGCAAGCCATCTGCACGTGCGGGAAGCGGAGTGCACATTTCGTGACCCAGGACACGATGAACGGACAGGTGTACATAAAAGAGTGCCTCCAGAAGCGGCTGCTTCCTCTCCTGAAGGCCCACAACGTCCCAACAATCTTCTGGCCGGATTTGGCCTCATGCCACTACTCCAAGGACGTGCTGAAGTGGTATGCGGACAATAAGGTCAATTTCGTGCCGAAAATGTTCAACCCTCCCAACACTCCGGAGCTCCGCCCCATCGAGAAGTACTGGGCGATTATGAAGCAGCACCTTCTTAAACGACCTAAGGTAGTGAAGACAGTCGAGGAACTGAAGAAAGTATGGGTTTACATGCAAAAAACGGTTGATTCACAGGTTGTGCAGAATCTTATGGCCGGGGTTAAGGCCAAGGTGCGGGCATTTGCGTATGGACTGTTAATAAAATACGAGTAAAATGGTAAAATGAAGTTTAATAGTTATTTCTCAATCCCTGAAAATTTGATGGCAATCGGATGAAAACTCGAATTTTGCGAATCAATTTTGTGTGTGGCCATTTCATCGTGGACACTCTTTAATCCAGCGGATTAAGATCGGGGCTGGATGGTGGCCACATATCCTTCGCCCAGAACGGAAGATGTTCCTGCAACCACCTCTGAGTGCGGTTCAAGGTGTGGCACGGAGCCCCATCTTGTTGAAATACAACATTTGGCTTCGGACCGTACTGTTGTTTGATCCACGGAAGAACATACTTACTTAAAATCCCGATGTAGACCTCCGTGTTGACCTTGTCGCCTTCTGGAATGAACACCGGGTCGTTTTTTTGGCATCGGAAGCCACCGATCCAAACACCACAACGCTAGCAGGATGCTTGGTCAGATACACGTTTTTGTGCTCGTCGGCTTCGTCTTTTACCGGAAGAGAACTAATATACTGGAATTTGATACGGGGTCGACGGTAAACATGCTCTCGTCGGTGAACAGGATTACCGGATTTTTTCGCTTAAGGAAGTTCAAGATTTTCTTGCATCGTTCGACTCGTAGCTCCCGGATGCGGTTGGTAATCATGTGAGTTTTTTTCCGTGCCCTCGACTTCGCCCGGCAATCTTCCTTTACGATCTTACGGCACGGAACTGATCCCGATTTGCCATTTTCCTTATTGAACGCACTGGATTCACCCGAATCTTCCTTTTGATAGCAGCGATAACCCTCGGAACCCGAGCTGACCTCGGACGACCTGTGGCCACCTTCGCGGATAGTTGTCCTTTCTTTTCTCGGTCTAAAACCCTTTTAACGGTCCACCGGGACACTCCCACGGCGATTGAAATGTCTTTTTGCGACATTTGAGCGTGGGACAAATCACGAATACGCTGCCACTTCGTCATGGTGCAACTGTCAAACTAAGTAAATCATTTTCTTTTATACAAAGCCTACTACGGTATGAGCTATAAGTTACGTGCACGCAAAGAAAACCAAGGCATTGTATGCACAGGTGAAACGGAAACCTTACTTGTACGATGGTGCAAACATTATCACGCATACGGTATATACTATCGTGGGCATCCAATCTCAAATCAGAGCAGGATTTTCTGCGAGAGTTGAGATACATTTACAAGTTTGTTATGCAGAATAATCAATAAATAAAAAAAAGCTTATCAAAGGAGGGTGGCCTGATTCGAATACCGGTTTAACCGAGGATCATCCGCAATGGAAATTTTTACATTTTCACCTGCGGTTTCTCTCGGTTATTCTTGCCAGTCTTAATTGGTATGAACTTAAATGGGGTAACCACAGGACTTTATAGTGATGTCCATATAATTTTGAAAGTAGTTCCAGTACTGCTGTGGGATGTCAATACGTATTAACCCCACATATTCCATCAGACCTGGACTGGTGTACGATTGCCTTAGCGCAATAGCATAAGATTTATATAATATAACAGCATGCTGTTTTATTCAAGCATTCCGCTAGCAACCCAATTTCATTACTTAAGAATCATTGCAGTAAGAAATGCAATTACATTTTATTCTATTCCACGAGTCCGATATCAAGCACATTCCCGTAACCAGATCCGGTTATTTTACAGATGCATCGCTGTCACTTTCCTTCTGTAGAACGAGCTCGTATCATGGGTCCTCAGTGTGATGCCTACCGATTGGTCAACTGTAAAGGCCCAAGCGCAATGTAGGCGGAAGCGGAACGGAAACGGAAAGTTTGACAGTTGTCACAAATGGCATCAAGATGCCTAACCGAAGTCGATTTGATTATAACTAGTTTTCAATCCGACAAGTAGGCTTACTCAGATCGGGCTTTTCCGCTGCCACTGCCGTTCCGCTTCCGCTGTTAAGGCCTTGGTAATTACTGAAAAAAAATTTGAGGCTTTATTAAAAACTGGCTCGAGGATGTTGCTCCTAGAATCGGGAAGAATTTGATAGGCAGAAGGTAACAATTTGATCCATCATTGATCAAGCTACGCCTTCGTTTCTGTACATCTGGTGGACGGATTCAATTTGCTGTATACACTGTATAGGTTTTATGGCTTTCACTTCCTGTTCCACTTCCTGAAGGGAAGCTGATTGCTTGCCATGATCCTTCAGAGCAATAGAGAATGTAAACACAATCACAAAAGTCGCAGCTTTCGGGGTTGCCAAACTCATGGATTATTGACACCTTGATAGGCACACTTTGATTGACATGTTCGGCACAGCTCAATCAGTCGGTACCAATTTAGGTGTGCAGAGTTAATACCCTTGCCAGAATATTTTTTTTATTAAGTATTTATTTATTTTTTATTAATCAATCACTTGAATACTTAATTTTGTTGGGACCTTGTCATTTTTTACCTCTCTGAGAAAAAGTTGTAGAGAAAAACCTACGGGCAAGTCAGCTGTACTCTGAGCTAATATATTAACATTGAGTAACTGTGAGTTAGTCGTAGCTACTCAAACAATAACAAAGTAGCCTTAATTTAACTTTTTTCAATCTGTCGTATTTACAAACAAAATAACGTCAGCCATCATTAACAGTTTTGTTTAGGATTTAGATTAAGATTTCTTTATTAAAGATACTTTCAGCTGTAGTTTTGCTTAAATGCAAGTATGTTATTTTTCTCTTAAAAAAAACTTTCTTTTTTAAGATACTTTATAGATACTGCTACAAACTGAAAACGTTTCGATCATACGAACTCCAACAACTTATATGGATTTACAGGAATCATTGCATAGTTCGTCATCCTATTATTTGAACATTCGGTAGTAACGACAAAGATGGTTTTTTAACTAATACTCTGCGGTAATACCGTTGTTAAGTTTTACCCTGATTAAAACCCGTATTATTATTCATCAAGAGCTATTCCTGGTTTGTTTTCATTAAGTGTTTGGTAGAATATTCGTAGTATGCTTTCAATTTACAAAGCGTTATTGGCAATGATTTTTCACTTCCACTGCGATGTCTGGAATAATTCTATGGTGGAAGCGACTTGTTCCTTAATCATGGCTGATCAAAGTAATTAAAGTCATGCAAAATGCAGGGAATGCAACTGATACGCTAGAATATAAGAAAAGAAGTTTACAAAATTGTTTTGAACTTACACCGGTGTAACATATGTGACACATAACTCGATCAAAACTTTTCTCTCGTTGACTCAGTTGCTGCGATACATATTGACATGTTGACAACGATATTCATCATTGAGCAGCGCGAGTAACTCAGAGCTACTCAAAATTTGCTTAAAAATTACTCATGATATAAAGCTGTCTGGCCCCTAGAGAAAAACAATGTTTTATGGTAGAAAAAAAAAATCAAAAAAATGTTTTTAATAAAAATTTAAAATCTTGAATATTTTCAAATGCTATCTTCAAAAATGTTCTTAGTCCATTTCTTTTTCTAAAAGTTCAATCTCGTGATCTAAACTTCAAACTATCACTTTAATGTTCGGTTCAAGGGAAAATTTACCGGCCCGGAAATAAAAAAAAATATTTTCGGTACGTTTTTATTTTTTTTAAAATATTGAGATAAATTATCAAAAATCCAAGAGAATCAGTTTCTTCCTTAGATTTTTGTCAAAAATTACATGTGAAAATATTTTTTCTATCTTATTATGAAAAAACGTGAATGTTCTTTAAAAAATTAGAAAAAATGTGTTTTTTTTAGATTTTTGATACCTTTTTCCAATATTAATTATAATTATTTTTTTTTGAGCGGTTAGCTTCCCCTAATGATACACTCGGCCTAGTAGCGTTCAGCCCTTTGAAAAATGTGTAAGTTACTGATATTTTTAAACACTTTTCAAGTGTCGTACTTCAAACCAAATCACCCGGGAAAAGCCAAGAAAGGACCGGGAATTTAATTTCTAAAATCCTGTGGCCCCCCCTTGTAAACGGCAAACTGACCAAACGTTCTGATGCCAGAATGGATTCAAAAATGGCCAAATGAAAATGGTCTTAGCAACGTCGGCATGACTCTGCCAAAGGCCTTAGAAATTGCCAAAGTATTCTATATTCGTAACATATTACAATAATTAAAACAAAGGAAAATTCATTATAACTTCCCAGTCCAAGCAACCCACAATGAACCAATGACTGACAATCTTTCAACCATCGCCGTCCGGCGATAAACGATTTCTAGATAAACTACACCCCCGCCGCCCCTTACTACATACCGTGAAGTTGTTCATGTTGACGTTGAGGTCTTCGATTTCCCTCGTGTACTTTTCCCATTCGTCGTACCGAATAACAGTCAGATACATATTGACCAGTTTGCTCGCGAACTTTGCAAACTGATTGTCAATACAGACGGCATAGTATCCTCCCATCGAGGCACCATCTGTGTAGTCACTGGACGCTTGCCATTGGTACGGGTGAACGATTTCGCCTCGGGGATTCCGCACCGCAAATCCGGCCATCCCATCTCCGCCACGGATCACCTACAAAGGGAGGAGGGGGGAGGAATGAATTGGCACCGATCAAATCAAATCTTCCCAAAACCACAATCAACTCTCACCTGAAAGCTAACGTAGAAAGTGCTGCCCGGTTGAACGTACTGGTAGTAGCAGTCCTCCTTGCCAGCCTCGATGTGCACTTTGTAGTCCATGGCCACAGCCGGGAGGGTCTCGTACCACGGTCGGGCTTCTGCGTCATCTTGTGATCCGACCAGCTGCACCAGGTATCCCCCTAGCAGTCCAAAGGCTAGGAGCGCACCGCAAATCGACGTGTGCCACGTAAAAGATTTCGATGCTACCATGTTTTCGATTCGCTAGCCTGCTACCTCTCGACAGGCAGTTTCACTCTCTGGTTGCTTGATCTAATGTACCGAAGAACACTGACGTCGTCGTCTGCAGGTATGTCTGTCTGTCTGTCAGCTTGCTCAACTGGTGCTCCTTTCACCACCGCGTTTTGGTTTGGGTTTTTCTATATTGGTGTGCTGCTGTCGTCTGACACCGAAGTTTTTAAAGTAACTTACATGTCGTCTAGTTGATTATCAGCACCACGCAACAACGCAGCCAGTCAGTGGTAGTGGTGTGGTATTTCTCGTCCATGGCACTTGCTGATATACGCTGGAATGTTTATTTTGGCTGACTCCGGTTTTATTTTTCACTGACTGTGCATCTGTGTGCGGTTCCAGGCTAGTGGACGGTCGAGGTACGCTCGAGGAGGCTATTTGCAGTGCACGGAGGGAATTCGGTTAACCATTAACTTTTTGGATAAGGGCAAATCTAATTGATCAGTTTTTAAAACCCAAATTGTCGATTTTTATTCAAGCTTTGGGTCAAGAAGTTAGCGTAAATCATCAAGTAAACTATTTTATTGAAGTATTGAGCATGAGCATGTTTGACCGCCTGCGGTTGCTACTTCGTTATTGCCAGATGATTGATGTTCCTTGGGCGCAGCGTTGTCAGTATTCCAGATTGTTAGTCATCTTTCCAGATACACAGACAAAGTACGTTAGTTTCCAGGTTTTTCAAACATCTTGTTTTCTAAATGTCACTACTATTTATCACCCACTCATCTAAGACATTTTAATTTTAATTAATTTACCTTAAGTCCACTCGAATGACATGTATTATTGCTTTAAAAGGCATGAATGTAGCCAAAGTGAGGCAGGCAAGTGTTCCCACAATTTTGAATGTTTCAGTAAGTTCCACTACCGTAAAAAAATGTTAAGTTCGAATATGGCAACTAATGCGCCTTATCTCCAAATTAAGTAAAAAAAATGTAATGGCAAAGAACTAAAAAAAATAATTAAATACAGTGCCACGGAAAACAAATCAAGATCTTCGCTAGGATCTTCGTGAATCTTCATAGTTCGTTCATTTCAGAAAGAGTTTGTTAAATGTTTAGAATATTGACAAATGATTTAAGTTTGCTTTTTAAAAAGATCTCGAAATCATGAATCATGCATTTTTTTCTACAAATCTTAAAATACTAAAAATTAAGTCCCAGTAGTGAGAGACAAACCTGAAAATTTATGTAATGAAGTAACAATCACATTTCCCTAGAATATGTTTTTTTTTGTCTGAAATTACGAAAATCTTTATCTAGTCATTCGTTTTTTTTTTCAACTCAACAATTTGAGAAAATGAATAATCGAGCATTAAAATTTTATGAGTTAGGTATTACTTGTTAAATTCTAATGTTCGATTCTTCATTTTCTCAAATTCTTCTATTGAAACCTTACTTACTTTACTTAAGCATTTGTCAGATTCAAAGGATATTGGATTCGCTTGTAGTTGCTCGAAACTACCTAAGTGTGCTCAATATTTTTTGTCAGTAAATACCTGTAAAATACTTTGGGATAGTTCCATCAGTATTCCTCTATGTGCAATCATGTTCATCTGTTTTATTAATTGTTTTGTATTTTGCCACAACAAAGGGGTAGGTCACTCTGCCAACCACCTTGTGATTGTGTTTCTTGTGTGTTTTGGGTGCCGGAGGGTGTTTCTTCATGCCGACTAAGCTGTCAAAACATAAATCGAAAAATTATGCTTACTGGCAACCATAACATGCCCTGCTATTATCTTGGATTTTTATTCGGATTAAAAGTGTATTGACAATTCATAGACGTTTCCCCGAATTATGTTATGTTGTCTGAAATAGAACTTACTTACTTACTTACTTAACGATCCTGCGCACCTCCAGGGGTGCAAAGGGCCTTTGTGAAAGATTTCCATCCTGGGCGATTACTAGCTTTGGCTTTGACCTGTGCCCACGCCGCCACGAGCCTCTGGGTCTGCCTCTGCTGGATTCCAGTCCAGTGTTTGCTTGCAGATATCATTTCCGCTCCGTCGTAGTGTGTGGCCGACCCACCTCCTTTTCCGTTCACGAATTTCTGTCTCTATCGGCTTCTGAAGGCACAAACGATGAAGCTCGGAATTTGAGATCCAATTGTGGGGCCACCAGGCACGAATTATGTACCGCAGGCATCGGTTGATAAACACCTGCAGCTTCTGAGTGTTCTCCGCTGATACACACCATGTTTCATTGGCGTATAACAGCACAGACTTCACGTTCGAGTTAAAAATTCGGATTTCGGTGCGTCGACTGATCTGATTCGCTCTCCATACATTTCGCAAACTGGCAAAAGCAGCCCTCGCCTTCATAATCCGTGCACCTATGTCGCTCTTGGTGCCGCCGTTCGACGCTATCTGGCTGCCAAGATATTGGAAGCTTTCGACTTTCTCCACTGCCTGCCCAGCTACCGTGAAATTGGAACGGTTTTCCGTGTTGACATCCAACGATTTGACCTTGTTGACGTTGATGGTTAGACCTGCTTCAGAGGAGCGTTCCACAAGGTCGTCGAGCTTACTCTGCATGTCAGAGCGCCGTTGTGCTAATAACGCAACATCATCAGCCTAATCGAAGTCGTTGAGATGCTCCATGGTAATAGGCTGCCACAGCAACCCACGGTTCGGTACACGGTCAACGGCTCCAACCATGATTACGATGAGGAACAGTAGCGGTGATAATATACATCCTTGCCTCACACCCACGATTACCCGAATCGGGTCATACAAAGCTCCGTTGTGCAACACTTTGCATGAGAAAGCCTCGTACTGCGCTTCGATGAGGTTGACGATCTTATCATGGAGGTAACGCTAAGACTAGAAGGTCCCGAAGAAACGTACTCAACTTTTTGGCTCAGCTCTGGTACTCTCTTCGGTCCCAAGCTAATTGATTCACCCCTCGAAACATAGGAAAATCCACTAACCCCTCATTTTATCTGTCAAACTTTCATAGCGAATCAAAACAAACATTGTGTAGTACTAGAATTTCGACTAGAATTGGATACGTTAATCGTTTGCTTGGGACCAATAGGCTAGTCAAGTAGTGAACCAATTTAAACCCGTTAGTTTCGTATTGATTGTTGATCTTATCAGGGACTCCTTTGCGTCTCAGAGCGCCCCTCAAGTTTTCGTGGTTTATTCGGTCGTAAACTTTTTCGTAGTCAATGAATACCAAGTACAGGGACTCTTGGAACTCATTGACCTGCTCCAAGATGATGCGGAGCGTGACAATATGGTCCACACAGGATCTTCCAGCACGGAATCCTGCCTGCTGTCGTCTGAAATAGAACGTCTCATCAACATCTGTTAATCCATCGAGGTCCGGTGCAATCCAACAAACCGACCGCCGTGGTTCTCGCTTCTTTGGAATAAAAAACAACAACTAAATTGACCAACAAACGGCAAAGGTGCCACAGTGGATGAAAATGTCGCGGAAGGGTGTTTGAAGTGTGTCGAAGTGTGTATTTGCTGTGTATAACACAAGGTGGAGAGTGACTTCCCAAGCAGGGTACCTTCCATTCATTTTGGCTAAAAAAATGTTTTATGAAATTATGGAATGAAATTGTATGTGTAAGTAACAAGAAAATATTGTAAGGTTTGTGTTTAACACATACAACGTGCAAATTTAGCATTGACAGAGTCACAATGAGAAATTTTCTTATCGCCTTTTCGCCAAGAGCGAAGAGTGGGTGAGATAAATGACAAAAATTGTCATTGTCACAAACATTAATTGCCAAAATAAATGGAATGCACTCTGCATATAAGCGAAGACAACAAATCAAGAAGACTGGCAACTTTGCCAGAATCCAACCGACAGATACAATAGCGCTGCGCTTGAGTGAAGGTGGAAGCAACGCATAGAAAAATGAGCAAATACACAAACCCTTCTTCTGAGGATGTAATCTTTGCTATCAAATTCGTTCGAAGCATTTACCTTTGAGCGGCAGATGAGGCTAAAAATTTGGAGGTGCAAATTTAACTAAATATTTCTGCTGGAAAGTTCGCAACACTGTGGTGAATGTAGAAGCAAGGTTTATTTATTTTACTGGTGCATAATTTGCATCGTTCTGATGAATGCAAGCTTCATTGAAAATTTATGGTGGAAAATTTGCACCATTCTGCATGAAGAGGCAAAGCCTGAAAATTGCACCACAAAGGTGCATGGTGAAACAAATTCACTGACAATTTTTGGTGCACCGTTCTGGTGAATGAAGGAGCATATTTTATTGAAAATTTCTGGTGCACAATTTGCATCGCCGTGATAAATGAAATGAACAGAAGATTTATGGTGGAAAACTTACACTGGTAAATGAAGCCACAAGCCTTATTAAAAATGTAGCTATATTGAAAATTTCTGGTGGAAAATCTGCACCGTTCTGGTGAACGGATGGGCAAGCTTTTCGGAAAAATTTTGGTCTTAAATTTGCATCCTTCTGCTGAATAGAGAAACAAACTTTGATAATAATGTCTGGTGTAAAATTTGCACCATTCTGATGATTGGAGGGAAGCTGATTTACTAAACATTCTCAAAATATGAAAATAGGGGCAAGCTTTATTTGGTGGAAAACTTGCAACATTCTGATGATAGGAGAAGCAAGCTAAATTGAAAATGTCTGGTGGAAAATGGAAAAAGGAAATCTGCACTAATCAGAAAATTTGAGAAGCAATTTTTATTGAACATTTTCGGTGGAAAATTTGCATCGTTCTGGTCAGTTGAAATTTTATGGGGGAAAGTTTTTATTGAAAATTTCTGGTGTAAGATTTGCAACAATCTGCTGTATGGAGAGGCAAGCTGAATTGAAAATTCCTGATGTAAAAATTGCACAGTTCTGACGAATGAAGGGGCAAGCTTTATTGAACATTTCTGGTAGAAAAACTACAACGTTTTGGTGAATGGACGGACAACTTAAACTTGACTTCCGAGAAGAGCCTCAAGGGTATTGAATTCTGAGGACAGTTCTAAAAGAAAAGATTTCTGGGGATGATTTCATGAAAATTCTGCGAATAATTT